TGTAATTTGCTTAAGATGTCTCACAGTTATCAAATTATGCTTTGAATAGGAATGACTAATATGAATTGTTGTCAATCATAATGCAAATTCTAATGACACAACTTTAGGGTTTTGGAAAGGGAGAATATGTGTGCATACCTTCGTAAGACATACAGGTTTGTTTTCTTTCATTTTTATGTTACCATTTTTTTAGCATATATTTTAGTGCATATGATCGTTTTTCTTTAAATAATTTTGATTTATATTTTGCCTTAGTAATTGTTTGTTTGTGTGTGAGGGGGAGGGGGTTGATAGAAATATGGTTTGACCATTCCTATAACTAGTAGTTCATCATTTAAGATGTATGATTCCTCAGTTGCCAATTACTTCCTTACAATTTTTTGTTCATTTAACTATTGTGTCACAAAGTTAGTTATTCTCTATTGATTACAGTACATTAAGACAGCGGAGGAGAGACCAACATGTCTAACTTTGGGAGGCTTACAAGGTTACCTTCAGACGAGCTTTTTGTAACTGAAAATTATTTTACTTGATTTGAGGTATGATTGTACAAGTTTTTTCCTCAACTTTTTCTCTCTTGTTTGTCTTGAACCGTGAAATTTTTAAGTATCTTCCCAATAATCTCTCAACAATCAACTTTAGTACTTTGCTTAAGATTGCTTACAGTTATCAAACTATACTTTGGATATGAATGACTGATGTGGATTGTTGTTAATGATAATGTAAGTTCTAGTAACTCAACTTTTGAGCTTCTGAAAGGGTGGACGTGTGCATACATTCGTAGGGCATACAAGTTCGTTTTCTTACATGTCTACGTGACTTTCTTTTGTATATATTTTACTACATACGATAGTTACCATTTAAAATGTTATGATTTATATTTTTCCTTAGTAGTTGTTTGTGGAGGGCGATAGAAATATGGTTTGGTCTTTCCTATAAATGGTCTATTGGTCATCATTTAAGGTATATGACTCCTATGTTATCAATTCTTTTTTTAGAATTTTTTTGTTTCTTAAAATTTTCATGCCATTGAACTATTGTGTAACGATTTTAGATATTCCCTATTGATTACAATACATTTAGACAATAGAGTAGAGGCTAACTTGTTGAACTTTGGGAGAGGCTTATAAGGCAGCAATCTAAACAATTATGAAATTAATCTTAGGCGAGCTTTTTACTGGTGATCGTTATTTTGTTTGATTTGAGGTATGATTCTGTAAATTTTTTTTGTACTTCTCTTTTTTGTCTTGAAACTTAAACTAATTAAGTATCTTCCCTATGATCTCTCAACGATCAACTTAAGTACTTTGCTTAAGATTTCTTAAAGTTATCAAACTATACTTTAGATATAAATGATTAATCTTGATTGTTGTCAAATGATAATGTAAGTTACAGTGACAATTTTAGAGCTTTGGTAAAGGGGGATATGTGTGCATACCTTCATAGGGCATACAGGTTTGTTTTCTTGTTTGTCTACGTGACTATTTCCTTTACATATATTTTATTGCGTATGATTTTTTTTTTTTAAAAACTTGCGAGTTATATTTTTCCTTAATAATTGTTTGTGGGGAAGGGGGAGGTATGTGACCTTTTGTTGCCAATTAGTTCCTTACAGTTTTTGTTCCTTCAAATTTTCATGTAGTACATTTAGACAGTGGAGTAGACACCAACTTGTTGAACTTTGACAGGCTTACAAGGCAGCAATCTATGTAGTGATTAAGTTACTTTTAGGCGAGTTTTTTACAAGTGAACATTATTTTGTTTGATTTAAGGTTATGATTGTGTTAGCTTTTTCCTTTTATTTTTTGTCTTGAACCTTGAAGTTCTTAAGTATCTTTCTTATGATGTCAACAATCAACTTATATCCTTTGCTTAAGATTTTTAACAGTTATCAAAATATGCTTTGGATAGGAATAACTGATGTGTATTGTTGTCAATCGTAATTCAAGTTCTTATGACAACTTTAGAGTTTTGGAAAGGGAGAACATGTGTGCATACCTTTGTAGGGCATACAAGTTTGTTTTTTTTCGTGTCTACGTGACCATTTCTTTAGCATATATTTTAGTGCATATGATAGTTTATATTTAAAATGATTATGATTTATATTTTTTCTTATTAATTGTTTGTTTGTCTATGTGTGGGGGATGGGTTTGATAGAAATATGGTTTGGCTTTTCCTATAACTAGTAGGTCATCATCTATAGTATATGACTCCTCTGTTACCAATTACTTCCTTATAATTTTTTGTTCTGTAAAATTTTCATGCCATTTAACTGTTGTGTTACGAGGTTAGATATTTTCTATTGATTGTAGTATATTAAAACGATGGATGAGAGACCAACATGTAGAACTTTGGGAGGTTTATAAGGCAGTAATCTACCAGCTACGAAGTTACTTTCAGGCAAACTTTTGTAAGTGAACATTATTTTGCTTGATTTGAGGTATGTTTGTGTAAGTTTTTCTCCTTCTATTTTTTGTATTGAAATTTGGGAGGCTCATAAAATAGCAATCCAAGTGGTTGCTTGTGGAAGGTGTAGATTTTTTTAGGTATTGTATAGTATTGATTTTGTTAGCGTTTTTTTTTTCTTCTCGTGAAGTTCTTAATTATCATCCTCGATCTACATCCTTTGCTTAAGATTTCTTGCAATTATTGACCTATAAAGGTACTGATGTTTAAACCATGGTTATCACAATTTACTAAACCCTTAACGACGCATGATCGGGGTACATTAGTCCGAAACAAGGTGGGTTTGTGATCCATATCACCATAATGGACGACCCCAAATTATATTACTAACTCTAAATCAATTATCTTTAGAACATATAGTACAAATATAAAATATATATTAATTGATTACATGTATATAGATTTATAATTATATATTGTTTTAGATAATAAAAAATCAGGCACAACTATAAGATAAATGGTAACTAACTTAGTGTTTTTGAACGTTCTGTAATATATAATGTTATATAGTAGTGAAAACGATCTATATAAGAGGTCCAAAATGAATTGCGACCCAAAATACCATACGAGCTAAACCTACCTCCATCGTACCGTGTACCTAAAAAAGTGTCGTACTATATACTCATACCCAGGTAACATTGGTTTAACTTGATGGTCTTAAACCATGTTGCTTTAGATACGAATGAACTATGATAGTTTTTGTTTATGGTAATCCAGGTTCAAGTGACACAACTCTACACACACTTTTGAAGAGCACACTGGTAAGCTTGTTGCATGTTTGCTTGACTATTTCTTTTGAATATCTTTGAGTAGATGTTCTAGTTTCCATTTTTAAATATTAATAATGTGTTTTTATTAATAATTGTGGTGGTTTTTTGAAAATTTTCACTGGTAGTAAAAAATTTGATTTAATTATCATATTCTAGATGATTTTTAAATTTACTAGTTATAAAAAAAGGACACTAGTTTTTAGACTCCAATTGACTGGGGCACAAAAATTGACGTGTGTTAGTGGCGGCATCTTGCACCATGACACCCCATGAATTCAAAGCAAGGCGATGTACCTAAGGTGTTCAACAAAAGTCCAGGCGTTATGCCCCAGACTCTCGTTGTTTTGTTTCATCGGTTCAAAAAATGTCCATTCAAAGTCGCTTTGGAAAACCTCCATAAAGCATATATAGGGGGTGGTGATAGTTGAGGGGCACCAATGGTTTGGCTAGCCTTGTCCCCCTCCCCCCCCACCCATATTAGTGTATGGGTATGTTTCTTTGGTGTATTAGTGTGTGTGAACAGAACGTATGTTTGGGGGTGTTTCTTTTTGATATATTAGTGTGTATCTGTTAGTTTTTGTTTCTATATTAGTGTGTTTTGTTTCTATATGTGTTTTTTTTGGTATACTAGTGTGTATTAACACTGTGTATATGAATGTATATACTAATTAGCTGGGGTATATGTGTTTTTTAATGTATTAGTGTGTGTGTGTGTGTGCATTTGTGTTCATGTAATAACGTGTATTATTGTATATTAGTGTCCGTGTTTGTGACGGATTAGCTTGTGTTAACACTACATGTGATAGAATATATACATTTTTGTGAATGTGTGTTTAATTGTATTAATGTTTGTATTTTTTGGTGTATTAGTGTGTGTATATTTTGGATGGTGGATTAGTGGGCGTGCGTGATGATGGTGTGTGTGTTGTGTAATAGTGTGATTGTGCGTTTTGGTATGTTGGTGTCGGTATGTTTTTAGTGTATTAGTGTGTGTATGTGTGTTGGTTTTAGTGATGGTGTGTGCATCCATGTATTTGTTTGTGTGCGTGCTTTTGGTGTGTTAGTGTGCATGTTTGTTGGTGTATTAGTGTGTTTAACAATGTATATTTTAGTGTATTGGTATGTTTGTTTATGTTTTAATGTACTAGTTTGCATGTTTTTGTGTAATATTGTTGTGTATATGTGTTTTTGTGTAAGAGTTGTTGTAATAGGAAAGACCAACTTACTTTAATTACTCTGTTGCCTATTACTTGGCTACAGTATTTTATTTCTTAAATTTTTGTGCTATGACTCGATGCATAATGTTGCCTATTGAGTGTAGTATCTTTAAACGATGGAGGAAAGGTCAGCCTATTGAAATTTGGGAGGCTCATAAAGCAGTAATCTATGCAATTATAGATTTATTTTCAAGCGAGCATGGGACAAGACAGGTATAGATTTTTGCTTGAGTATTATATTTTATTGATTTTGAGGTATGATTCTATGAATGTTCTCTTATCTTCATTTCTCTTTATTTTCCTCTGGAAATGAATTTTTTGACAAACCCCCACATTCGACGATTCTGAATCTAAAATCCACCAAAAAAAACCAAGAAAAATTTGTTAAGAGTAATGGAGAAATAATGTGTGTCCTACCAATCTGAAGGTGTTAAATCTTTTGCAATTTCATAGCAGAAAATCACATGTTAAGCCTTCAAAGATAAAAAAAAATAGTGATTAAACTTCTTAAATGTACCTCTGGAGGTATTGAAATGATCTCTTGCAGTGCAGAATGGTGCTTTGGATTCCAGTCTGTTGCTGTAATAACAAATTGTTGTGTCGTTTTCGACGAAATTGGCCCCGATGGAGCAGCTGCTACAGCTGATGAAGATGATCAGCTCTTTCCTAAATGCTTACGCACCACCGGAAGCCCTGTAGGCAAGTTTCCCGATGTGCCTTTCGGTGGAGGACCTAGGATGTATATCCAATTTTTTTTGGTATGTGGATATACATCTTTGTACTTTATTTTCGTATCTTGAATTTTTATCTTCCTACTTGTGGTATTATTATTAATTATTCGTTGAGAAAGCCACTTTGGACACATCTCACAAATCCTTGCGAGAGTAAATTTTGAATACTTGCAAACGTAGATACATGTTCAAGCACTTTATTTTCAATTCGTATGTTGTAGTTTAACTCAATTCAATCAAGCTCGTATATCCTAACAATACATGCTCAGTAACACTTGAAATTTGAAGAGTTAAATTTTTAAGTAAACTACACATATATCCCTCAAATTATGACCTTTATGTTAATTAAGTCCTTTAACTTTTTTTTTATGGCAATTAAGTCATTCAACTCTCTAATTGTGCTAATTAAGCTCTTATGTCTGCATATGTTAGATTTTTTAACGGAAAGTGGCAAAGTGTGCTACTAACGTGACACAAATAGTAGAAGTAAACTATACACATGTAGCTCTCAAATTATGGAAGTTATTACCCAAATAATGCACTTTTAAAACAAAAATTTCAATATACCGCACTTTTAAACTTATTTATTGATTTATGGCAGTTTTTTAAAGTGGAATTATTGATTCCATTTTTAAAAATTGTAGTAGATTGGTAAATAGTTTAACAGTGTGGTAGAAGTGTTATATTTTGGTAAATAAATTCTTAAACTATAACCCTTGTGTCAATTAACTCCCTAAATTTTTATTTTTTTTGTGTTAATTGAGATTTTTATATTTTTGTGTCATAGTCACATGAGTGATATTCTACCGGAGGTAGATAAAAGGATTTAATTAACCTACTTAGAAATTTAATTGACACAAAAAAAAAATTAGGAATTTAATTGACATAATCATAGTTTGAAGACTATATGTGCAGTTTACTCTTGATTTTTTATACCTAATGGTAAGTATAGTATTTATCTGAGCAATATACTCAGATTTGAATACTAAATAATCTGAAAAATTTTATCCGAACTTAGAGCGAACCAAAGTCCAAACCAGTTGGATTCAACATCTCTGCTTTCACTTGAAAAATTCATACACCCCTCAAAATTAATAAGGCATAGTTAACGACGCAACACAATCTTTTGATCCTCTCCCACATGGATCCTGGATTTTATGGCAGTGTTGTAGCCGTCTCTGCCTCTGACAAGCCAATGCCTTCTGCAGTACAATAATGGTGGCTCACTTCTTAATATCCCAACAGTTTCGGTTCCATACCTCTACTGTAATTTCATTGTTATCATTGTTCAAACTATAATACCGCAAAATTAATTGTTTCTCGATACCATATTTCCTATTTTCTACTAATGAGAGTATGACCCATTTAAAGTATTCAATGTTTTATTATTTCCAAGATCAATAACACAAAATCTAAAGCTTGGCAGTCTTACCCCTCAGTTCCTTTCCGTGTCAGAAAAATCCATCTTCTTTCATAAAAAAAAAATGAAAGCTTGTAAGATCTTCGTTCAGTGGATCTACAGTGAATCTACTTGGGAGAAGGCACTGAGATTCTGTCAGAGTCTGAACTAAGCAAAAAATCATGGCATATATATATATATTCTGAAAACAGCAAGTCAATCATAACCTTGGAGGAAGAGTTGACGGGTGTCCATAATGCTTTGTTGAATCTTGATGATATGCTTTCAAAAAGTGCATGAACCATCACACACTTTTCTCCTGTCTGTGGGCACGGGATGGGAAACCATTCTTCTCTTGTGGAGAGGCTTTGGATGGGGGATTTATGTCCGTTGTTACACTAACGGACATGGCTACAGTACATCTAAGGGCATTTTCGGTATGTATAAAAAATTTGACGGTTAAAAATTGAAAAAAATTCTACAAAATGATGCAGAAATGGACACGTGTAAAGGAAAAACAAGGCAACTGGAATGACCTGTTGCCATTTATACTGTACAATAATGATAGATGAAGGATGTACCATATCAATGAGTGAGTTATAAAGTTTATGGAATATTTATAATATTACTTGCAATATTTACAACAATAATGGATCTAATAACAAAGATAATGGTTATTCTTACAAAGTCGGTGGAACTAAGTACAAGGTTAATGGTATATTTACGACATCAGTAAGAAATACAAAAAATTAATGGGATAAGTACAAAATTAAAGATATATTTACAATAAAAGTAGAAAAATTTACGAGTCATATTCAACGTAATGGATGATCGATCAATGTAGTATATGATCGATCATAAAATATTGATCGATCGAATAAATGTATAATCGATCATTATGTGGAAAGGTGTTGTGTAAGAAAATGAAATTTTGGAAATAAATAAATAAATATATAATTTGACCGATCACGAATATGATGATCGATCATAGTGCCTCAATAAGGTGTTTTTGTAAAATCATTGCGATGTTAACGATATTAGTAGGTAAAAATACAAAATTAATGGTATAATTACAACAAAAGTGATAAATTTTGAAATTCAGTGAAACTAACTACAAATTTAATGGAGTATTTAGTACATCAGTAAGAAATGTACAATAGTAATTGGGTAATTGGGATAAGTACTGATGGTGCTCGAAATTTAAGGCCCAAGCACAACTATGATAGTGCGATGTTCTGAACAGGTTTTGTAGACTATGAATTAATCTATCACGAACAGTTAGGCAAAGAATGTAAGTGGTTCACCTTAACCGATAGACTAAGGCTACGTCCACTATTAATGAAGTCTCTTGCTCCTTGTTGTTGTGTATTCAGTTTCTGTTGAAAACAGTCGAGTTATAGGCTCTGGACCGTTTATAGGGAGTGGGGGTTTGTTCACAGAGTTTTTATCTCATTAGGAGAAGTCTCTCTTTTCTCTGGTAAGGCACTGTTCTTTATATACGGGTCCTCTCTCCTAGGATCTTCTACCTTTTCGTTGATCCTGTGGGAACCTCCTGTCCTTGTCTTGCAAAAGCCTTTCTTCGCTGTTGTCCCAGTATCCACGATCTCTGGGACCTTAAGCTCCACCATCCTCTGTGTCCAGGAATATGCAGCTGCCACATGTTTTAGAGATGGTCCCCTTGTCCCTTGGACGCGTGACATGACAGGTTTGTTTAGGAATGAATGGTCCGTTTCTTTCTTGGGCTATCATTAGGCTGGCACTTGACTAGGCCTGGGCTGAGCCATCGTCTTTCTGATCTCCACTGAATTTTCCTCTGCTGGGCTAATCCAGGATATTCTTTTTGGGCTGTGGGATTCTTTGGCCTGTAATCGTGGCGGCCTATGCTCAAAATTCCACCCTCCTCAATTGCCTCCAGCCCTTGGTCATGAGGATGACATCATCTCGGACCAGGGGTTAAAGATATCTTTTCCTATGTGGAGGGTTTGTTCGGTAGTTAGTCTAGACAAGATTTGGGCTGCGCAAGAATTCGTCATTTATGATGGCTTGGGTACGTGTTGTTTGTGGGAGAGCCAACAAGTGCAGGTTCCTTGGTGTGTCCTGTCGCCTGTCAGTTGTGGCCTTTGATGTTGTGCATATAAACAAGGGGGGGGGACTCCTCCCCCTTCCCACTTTACATCCCTCTTTTTTCGAAAAACCCTCTTTTGGTTTCCCTTCTATTTCCTTCGGTATTCGAGGCGTCGTCTTCCTGGCTCTTCGATGACTTAGGGCTTCTACACTTCCAGTTTTCCTTGCTTCTAGCGTCTTCACTAGGTACGTTTCTCTTCCCTTCTTCTTTTTTCCTATTTAACCTGGATCCTCCTTGGGGGGTTTCAGGTTTCACTTCCTGGTCTAGAGGTTTAGTTATTTTAGGAGTCGTTCCAACGACCTCACTTTTCTTCCGCGGTTTGTGGACCCTTCCAGCACAACTAGGATATCCTTTCTTAGGGATTGATGTTTGAGGCCTTTGTTTTTTACGGACTGTGCCTTACATTTGCCCTCTCTGCTTTCTAACTTTTCAGTGGAGACTGTGATGGGGAGATTCGTCGTTACTTCTTCTGGTTCAGATTCCGAGGGTCAGGCCAGCAAGGAAGTCAGTACCTCGGGTTCCTCCAAGGATCCTTCCCATATTGCCGGTGAGGCGGCCTCTGAGTTTGCCCCTGGGATTTCCTCCTTGTCCCCCCCCCCCCCCCGTTGACATTTATCCTCTTTCATCTCTGGCTCCTGCTGCCCCTACTCAATCAAGGGAGGGGAGGCCCAAGCCAGCTCCACCTTCTACTTCTAGGGGGAAAGTTAGCCGAGATCAATCCGACCTGACTTGTTGTGCCGATCAGACCTCCAGTTGCCTTAAGGATGACAACTTAGAGGAATTGAGGTGGTATTATCATTTTCCTGATTTCGTGGAGTTGCACTCGCCTAGGAAATATGAGAGGTGCAATTCTTCTCTTCCCAAGCTAACCTGCTTCTTCGAGTCAGCTTTCCGAGTCGGTCTTCGATTCTCTGTTCATCTTTTCATCTGGAATGTCCTCGATTTTTACAACGTTTGTCCCGCCCGACTTTCTCCCAATGGTTGGGGTCTTCTTGTCAGTTTCCTCATCCATGAGATTCCTGGGAGTTGTGGGGGGGGGGGCTCAGCGACGTTCCTCATATCCCCCGGGTCTAGGGGATCCTAAGGAACACACGTAAGGCTGATCTTGAGGTATGCTTTCCTTCTTTGCTCTTATTTTGCTGTCTAAACTAACCTTATGGCCTAGTTTGCAGATTTCTACCCAGAGCTTAACATGGAGGAGGACGTCTGAGTCACCAAGGCGGAGGCTTTGGGGTTGCAATCCTTTTTTGACTTGGTGACTAACCAGAATCTTGCGGCTTAGGGCCCGCTGTTGATCAGGCTCTGGAGGTTGTATTACCATCTACCCCCCAGTCTGACCCCATGGATCAAGACTTGATCGTGTCAATGTTCTCTGACACCAAGGAGTCAAGGAAGATGAGGAAACTGGTGAAAGGGCCACGACCGTCCTCCAAGGAGGCATCTATTTCCGGGCCATTGCCCATTCCATCGGAGGATAAAAGTGA